GGCAGGCGTTCTGCGCCCCGTCACCGCCCGGCTTTCCGGGAGCGCACTTGGGCGCTTTGGCAAAGACGAGAAGGGCCCTTTTCCTCCAAGGGGAGCGGAAGATGCCACTGGGCGCGAGCGTTCAGCTGTTCTGTTTGGAGCTGTGGGTTACATCTGCCAGATACGAAGCGCCAGCTGCCTTGCTGGGTGCGTGTGTGTGCGCCTGTGTACACGCGTGTGGGAGTGCCAGGAGTGACTTGGGGAAGACGGTGGCGAGTGGAGGTTGGGGAGCCGAGCGTTCCGAGACAGGCTCATGCTGAGAACGCACATCCCCCTGAGCGCCAGCTCTGAGGAGGCCTGCGCTCACCCCCAGCCTGGGAAATGCTCCGATCCATTGGTGCGGATCCAGGGCAGTGGGGTGCACCCCGGAGAAGAGAGCCACTCTGCTGTCCTCAGTGTGTGAGCAGGGGGATAGACAGGGCCTGTGCGCTTGAAAGGCTCTACCTGGGTTATCTCAAAGTACAACAATTTAAGAGAAATGTAAAAAGAAATGCTAGTTACTAAAAAAAAAAAAAAAAAAAAAATGCACACATCCAAAGGAGAAGAGGAGATCTTCCGAGGCATCTGCAAGCAGCCTGGGCCACGGGCGTGGACACGGGAGTCAGAACTGCCCTCAGGAACCAGGGCACAGTTTTCCACGGCGATGAGCATATTTAAAATCTGTTCATCAATAACGAGGCACAAGAAAACAGCCGTTGCTTTGGCAGACGGACCTCAGTTGATCACAGTGTGGTTTGTGCCGTATTTCTCACTTATTAGGGGAGGGGGCCCTCGGTAACTTTCCGTCGATGCCGGGTAAAGAGGCTGTGTCCGCCACAGGTGGGGGATGCCGGGGGGCGGAGGGGGCCCAGACTCCCGCCCGTGGGCTCCTCTGATCCGCTCCCTGCGGTGGCAAAGACGTTGGACAGTCCGGGGGTGGGAACCCTGCTTGTGAGGACCGAGGCTCCGTCTCAGGCCACTCGGTTGCTGTCACGGCCCCACAGATGGGTGGCTTATTGGCACAGGCTCGTGTTCCCGAGGCCGGACGCTCGAGAACGGGGTGCAGCGTGGTCTGGCGAGGGTCCCCTTCTGGGGCACGGTGTCCTCACCTGGCAGGAGAGGGCACTCTGGGGTCTTCCTCGTAAGGGCACCAGCCCCATTTAGGAAGCCCGACCCTCATGACCTAATCGCCCCCCAAGGCCTCGCCTCCTTCTACCTAAAGCTCTGGGTCAGGCTTTCAAACATCCAGACCACTCCTGAGGTCCAGGCCGTGGGTCTACTTTTTCTTCCCGTTTTTGTAAGTATCCCTGCCCCGGGCGTGCTCAGGAAGCAAATCTGAACCGTGATGGTCGTTTAAGCCAGATGGCGTGGGTGCCAATCCTCGGTGATCCTCGCAGGCGGGCTTCATCTCCCTCCACTCACTGAAGCCCTCGGGGGCCGATGGGACGAAGGGGAGAGGGCTTCTTGGGTTCACGCCACGCCCACCTAAGGGGGCCCACCACAGAGGCCTTTGCACAGGAGGTGTGCCGTGAGGACGGCAGGGTTCGGGGCGGCACGGGAAGCGCGCCGCCACCCGTGGAGTGAGCACAGGGCGAGAGGGAGCTCCCGCCGTCACGTCACACGCGTTTGTGCCAGAGCACACTCCCCTCGCAGGGCCTGCCGGTGCTTCTCCGGGCTTCCCGGGACCCGTCCGCCCCGCGGGGCTGCCGTGCGTTGTGGCGCGCAGCCCAGGGCAGGGGGCACAGACCCCCGGCCTCCCCGGCCTCCCCGGCCTCCCGGCCTCCCCGGCCTCCCCGGCCCCTCCAGGGGACCTGGCGAGATCACCTCACGTGGGCTTCAACACCGTCTTCAAAACACAGGTTGGCAGATTCTGGCCCATGAACCAGCCACCCGCTCTCGTAAATGAAGTTTTATGGGAAATAAGGGTACCAGAAATACCCGTTTGCCAGGGCTGCGGTAACAGAATGCCAGACTGGGTGGACCAACCAAGAGCAGCTTGTTTTCTCACAACTCTGAAGGCCGGGCGTCCAAAATCACAGCGTTGTCAGCACTGGCTTGTCCTGAGGCCACTCTCCTTGGTGTGTGGGCCTCCCTCTTCTCTGTTCTCACGTGGTCTTTTCTCTGTGTGTCCACGTCTCCTCGGCTCACGAGGACACCAGTCGTATTGGATCAGGGCCCACTCTGAGCGCCTCATTTTACCGTAATCGCCTCTGCAGAGACCGTATATCCAAATACAGTCACGTTCCGGTATGTCGGAGTGTAGGGCTTCAGCGTTTGAATTTTGGGTTGGCAGGGGGCACGATTCAGCCCATGACACCAGATTTAGCAAATTAAAATACAGGACGCCAATTAAGTTAAATTTCAGACAAATGGCAGGGTATGCATAGAATATACTTATCTTAAAAAATTATTTCTTATTCACATGACATTGTGATTTATCTGGAAATGCCCTTTTATTTTCAGCCCTGATTACAACATAGTTCTCTCTCATGCACATTTTGCCTCCATTTTCATGCCGCAGTGACCAAGTTGAATAGCGAAGGCTACCCCAGTTCCTTTGACAGTTCACATGAAAAATTAGCCACCACCTTGGGAAGCAAGAATATGGAACTTTAAATGACTTCTAAGGACCAGGGTTTGAGTTCAGAACCTACAACGGTGTAATGAGTGTGTGTTAACTTAAAACCTCCGAAGACCCACCACCGAGGAACTGCGGTAGGGGTGGGGAGCCTGCCTTCTCTATCAGTTTCAAGTATATGTCCTCCGGTTTCCCGCAAGCATTTCCTAACGTTCTCTTTCTTTAATGTACGTACTTGGTTTTGACCAACATCGTTGGTTAGGTTTCTCGTCTTGTCCACTAGTGATGATCTCAGTTTCTTTCTCTCTTTAATTCCCTTCTTACTTGCTGTTTTCATTGAAGGTGTTTGTTTAAACTTGTTTTCTGTTGTGATTACTGTGGCATGGATCCCATCCAGCTCTATCCTAACACCTGCTGTGTTCTGACAAAGTAAATACAAGCATTTAAAACCTGAGAAGCCAAAGGGTGTCAACAAATTGGAGGAAATTTAGAGAAAAGCACAGAAATAGTTAAGAAGCTGGAGGATTTTTTTTTTTTTTTTGCCAGGAAAAGTGTAAATGAGCTAAGTGCATTTGCCTTAGCAAAGAGGTGACCACCGCCAAGAATTTTCAGTGTGGCAATCCCAAGGAGAGAATTATTTTAGGTTTGCAGAGCGAATTTAATTACCATGAGAGAAAGGAGCTGATTGACCAGATGTCAATGGAGGAAAAGCCTTCCATGTGAAGTTGGGCTCAGCGGAGGGGTAGGGGGAGAACGAGACCGATGGCCACCCGCACCCCAAGACGCAGCAGGAAGTGAGGTCAAGGGTGGGGAAGGAGGGTAATTGTGTGTTGAGAGTGAGCCTACTCACCCTCAGTCCTCGGCGGCCTCCTCTTGGACTTGGCGTGCGTACAGTCGCCCTCCCCTCCTCCCATGCCTGTCTCCACTCCTAATCCCCTTCGAGTGTCTGCTTCTCCCATAATCCTCAGGACGCTGGCCAGGCAGGGCTTGGGAACCTCATCAGCCACGTAAGAAGTCGCCACGCCACGCTGATTCACCTCCACAGTGGTCGTGGGTCCCATCCCAGCCCCTTGGCTGCTGACTGCATCTCCAGTGCGGGCCTCAGTCACGGGCAGACACCTGTCCTCCACCAAGCCCACTAATTCTGGAAGAAAAAGAGGGTGTGGGGACGGATGGGGAAGGTCTGAGGGACACAGCCCCACTGGGTGTCTGCAGCTCAGGGGTCAGGAGGGTCAAGCAGTGTAGTGAACGTCTCCCCCAGAAGCCACTGGAGACCCACGCACACCAGGGTGTGCTCCACAGGTGTGGCCCGATGTTCTCTTTTTAACCAGTGTCTTAAATAGCCGAGTAAGCTGAAGTGTGAGGTAGGAGACACATTTATTGAGGCACCATTGACGGATCGTAATACGTGCACGACGTGCATGGCAATGACTTGGTATGGCTGTGTGCTCTGGGAGGGTCCCCAAAGCCTGGTTATTCGTCCGCCCGTCACCTCCGACGGAAGCCCCCAGTTAGGGCTCCCACAAGGATGCGGGCCTGACTGAGGGACGGACGGGTCGCTGCTCTCACCCACTCTTCTTCGCTGCTGGTTGGTTTCTTGATTACTGTCTGTGCATTTTGACTTGAACTTAAGCAGAATTGGAGCAGTTAATACAGAAATGGGAAAAAGAACATAAGCTCTTAAAGGGGCGTTTTAAAACCAAACCTGACCCCAGATGTGACCACACCCCTTCCAGAACTGCTTCTGTGGGCCCAGACTTGGACGCTTCACGTACAGAGTTAGCGGGCAGCTCCTGTATTTCCTTCAGCGCAGCAATGAGACCGAGGCCCTGGGTGGCCTGGACCCAGTGCGCCCCCACCCCACAGAGGTCCTCACCCCGTGCCCCTCCTAGTCACCTGGGCACTAAGTAAATGAGACTCCTAGGACATGTCTGGTCTCCCTCGACCAGAAGATGGCCTCTGTTTGATGTGCCCTGGTTGCGAAAATCAACTGTCCATAATTATCACGACCCTTTTCTTCAAGGAGCTCACTTGTTCTGAGTTAGTTTTCAGAATGTGCCGGTGTTCATTTGCAAACACATTCTTGTATAATTTTAAAGCAAAGAAGCACCAAGAAGCATCATCCTGCCCTTTGCCATAGTGTTTGTTAACATTATTAATCTGATTTAAGTGGAAATCATCCTTTATATTGCTTCCCACATATACACACTTTTTCTCTTTAAAACGGGAGGTTATGTACCAAATGCTGTGTTTTCCTTTCCTGCAAAGGCGAATGGGGCTGTTTTAACACAGATTAGTGGAGGTGCAATAGCCGAGCTCTGTAGGTGGTGAGACTCGGTTATCATTTGTATGATTAGTTTCACCTTGTAGCTGTGTCTCCGAAAATGCAATTAACAGTTTCATATTCAGCATAGCTAGCTTTTATTCCTGCCGCATGCGGCGCGACATTTGCATCATAAAAAAAACTAATTGGTAAACACAGTCTTGCCAGCTTCTCTGCAATCCACCCAATTCTCTTCCTGTTAATTGGCTCAGCTCCAGCACACACGGGATAGAATTTCAAAGGACGCCGCAGATTGGGACGCCTTGGAGCACTTGTGTTTCACAGAACCGACTCCAAGGAGGCTGGGGAAAATATTTTAAATTAATGCCCAACGCAGGCATCGCTCTGTCCAGGCGTTGCCACGGAAACCATTCTGTCTGCTGATGTGATGGGGGTGCGTGTGTCCACTGGGATCCGTCCCTGATGACCTTCAGAGAGGCGGTGGGCCGCAGGGACCCCCTGCCCCGGGGGAGGGGGGGAGCCCCAGCCGCGGCGCCTGGATCTCCCTTTGTGTCTCCGGGCCCCCCCCCCCCCCATCCAGCCCTTCCGAGCGCCTTGCCCCAGCGCCCCGTGTGCGCGCCCAGGGGAGCAGCGCCGCGAAGTCACACATCCCCCTCGAGAGACCCGAGGGGGCCGCGGCTGGGGACACGGGGAGGCCTGCCCCTTCTCTGCGTCGAAACGTCACGACACAGCCCCTCCCGAGCCTCCCCGCCCAGCCGCCTCCTCTCCGCCTTCCCCTCTTCCGAACACTCAAAATAGGCAGACGGTGCCTTACAGAGAAGCATCGTTTTCTCGGAGAAAAATCGGTGACCTCCGATTTGCTGCGTTTTGGCTTGAATAAAAAAGTTCTTGGAAGAGGTTATTACCCCTAGAGCGAAGGAAACCGTGCCGTCCGCGCGGGGATCCTGCAGAGGCTTCGAGGCCGAAGCGCTGTGTAGACGACGCTCCATCCAACGGCCAGTCCCCGAGACCCACGAGGGAGGGGGTGGAGCTTGTCCCCTGATGTGAATGACGTTTCATTAGCCAGACTGTTTCCCTTCTCGTCCCTCGCCTTCCCTCCCTCCCCACGTCCCCCCCCCTCCACCTTGTCCCCCTGGATCCTAGGCTCTGTACCTTTTCATCTCAGTTCCCACCTCTGATGAACAGATGTTTTTACCCAGTGTTTCACATGGGGACTGTCAGACAACTGTAACAGACAGACACATTTATAATCTGTTTTGAACTCCCATAAATAGCTATTTGCTTAACTGACAGAAAAGAAATATCTCATATGTTGTCTGCTAGTGGCGAAAAACAGCTCTTTTTAGTTAAAAACTAACAAAACGAGCCACTGGTAAGTAAAGCGAAAATGGCGATGCTTTCTCTAAAATTGGATTCCAAATATGTTACATGGGGGGGGGAGGGGGGCCGGGAACAGGTGTGTGTTTGCACCTGCCCTCAGCAGGTAAGAGTAAAACAAAATGTGAAATGGGGCCGGATTGTGCTGGACACAGAAGTGGAACAGACTTCCAAACTGAGAGCAAGCAGGTGCTTGTGCCTGGGGTGGTGCCCTGTACGTTTCCTTCAACCCTCACCCCAGGGACACATGCTTCCTGCTTCAGTCAAGAGCCCCTGACGCTTTTGCCACAAGTTATCTAAAAGTGTCTTGAATTGCTTTTTTTTTTTTTAATTTTTTTTTTCAACGTTTATTTATTTTTGGGACAGAGAGAGACAGAGCATGAACGGGGGAGGGGCAGAGAGAGAGGGAGACACAGAATCGGAAACAGGCTCCAGGCTCTGAGCCATCAGCCCAGAGCCCGACGCGGGGCTCGAACTCACGGACCGCGAGATCGTGACCTGGCTGAAGTCGGCCGCTTAACCGACTGCGCCACCCAGGCGCCCCTGCTTTTTTTTTTTTTTAATCAGGAATTTGTTCCTTTAGGATTTTAGGTCACAAACAAAACGAATAAACAAAACAATAACAAACGGAGAAAAGGTAACAGAAGATATTATGGCTTAGAGAAGCTCAAAGATAGACAATGAAGCAATTAGATCCACACGGAACAGGAATGAGGCAAGATGGGCGCCCGGCTGGCCCTCGAGGAAAGGTCAGCTGACCTCCCAGGCTCCTTGGGCCCTTGCAGCTAGAATTGTTTTCCTCTGCTCTGCCTAAGCCTCCCTTTTCAATCGTCTGCCTTTCTCTGTGGGATTTGCAAGATAAAAGGGAAGAAAAAAGAGAAACAAATGAGAGAGGAAGCAGGGAAGAAAGATATTCTGGAGAGTGTATGCGCTTAAAAATTAGGAAATGAAAGTAAATTTCTGAATTAAAGAAGACTTTGCATCCTTGTTTTGGAGCAAAGGAAAAGATAGACGGATAGAGGTCAAGGACGGTTGATGGGTGAGTGGACGCACGCGCAGAGCATGTTCGTGGTGGCCAGCACCCTGCCTGATGGAATGGCATCTTGGCAGCTCGCCTAATCTGCTAACAAGGAGACTGGCTGAGAAGAGAAGGCATAAGGTGAGGGTTCCGCCCTAGAAATTCAGACAACAAAGTGTTTTCTTCAAGGAATGTGCTATTCAGCCCATGAGAGCCTGGACGCGAGCAGGGGAAAGCTGGTCCCAGGTATGGGAGGTAGCATTAGCTCTCTTTCATGGCTGAGTTTTTGCCAGTCACATAGATTATTTCTTCCCATCCAGTGGAGAAACTCTTGGGGGATGACAGACCCAGATCTCCACTGTGAGCATCATGCCTTTTTAAAAAAATTTTATTTACTTTATTTTTCAAATTTACATCCAAGTTAGTTAGCATACAGTGCAACGCAGATTTCAGGAGTAGATTCCATAATGCCCCTTACCCACATAGCCCATCCCCCCTCCCACAACCCTCCAGCAACCCTCTGTTTGCTCTCCATATTTAAGAGTCTCTTATGTTTTCGTCCCCCTCCGTTTTTATATTATTTTTGCTTCCCTTTATGTTCATCTGTTTTGTACATTAAAGTCCTCATATGAGTGAAGTCGCATATTTGTCTTTCTCTAATTTTGCTTAGCATCATACCCTCCAGTTCCATCCACGTAGTTGCAAATGGCAAGATTTCGTTCTTTTTGATTGCCGAGTAATACTCCATTGTATGTATATGCCATATCTTCTTTACCTGTTTATCCACCGATGAACATTTGGGCTCTTTCCATACTTTGGCTATTGTCGATAATGCTGCTATAAACATGGGGGTGAATGTGTCCCTGTATCCCATGGATAAATACCTAGTAGTGCCATTGCTGGGTCATAGGGTAGTTGTATTTTTAATTTTTTGAGGAACCTCCATACTATTTTCCAGAGTGGCTGCACCAGTTTGCATTCCTCCCAGCAGGGCAAAAAGGGTTCTTCTTTCTCCGCTTCCTCCGCTTCCTTGCCAACATTTGTTGTTGCCTGAGTTGTTAATGCTAACCATTATGACAGGTGTGAGGTGGTATCTCATTGCGGTTTTGATTTGTATTTCCCTGATGATGAGGATGTTGAGCATTTTCTCATGTGTCGGTTGGCCATCTGGATGTCTTCTTTGGAGAAATGTCTATTCATGTCTTTTGCACATTTCTTCACTGGATTATTTCTTTTTTGGGTGTTGAGTTTGATAAGTTCTTTGTAGATTTTGGATACTAACCCTTTATCTGATATGTCATTTGCAAATATCTTCTCCCATTCTGTCGGTTGCCTTTTAGTTTTGCTGATTGTTTCCTTCGCTGTGCAGACGCTTTTTATTTTGATGAGGTCCCAGTAGTTCGTTTTTGCTTCTGTTTCCCTTGCCTCTGGAGACGTGTTGAGTAAGAAGGTGCTGTGGCAGAGGTCAGAGAGGTTTTTGCCTGCTTTCTTCTCGAGGATTTTGATGGCTTCCTGTCTTACGTTTAGGTCTTTCATCCATTTTGAGTTTATTTTTGTGTATGGTGTAAGAAAGTGGTCCAGGTTCATTTTTCTGCATGTCGCTGTCCAGTTTTCCCAGCACCACTTGCTGAAGAGACTGTCTTTATTCCATTGGATACTCCTTCCTGCTTTGTCAAAGATTAGTTGGCCATACATTTCTGGGTCCGTTTCTGGGTTCTCTATTCTGTTCCATTGATCTGAGTATCTGCTTTTGTGCCAGTAGCATGCTGTCTTGATGATTACAACTTTGTAATGCAGCTTGAAGTCTGGGATTGTGATGCCTCCAGCTTTGGTTTTCTTTTTCAAGATTGCTTTGGCTATTTGGGGTCTTTTCCGGTTCCATACAAATTTTAGGATTGTTTGTTCTAGCTCTGTGAAGAATGCTGGTGTTATTTTGATAGTATTGCATTGAATATGTAGGTTGCTTTGGGTAGTACTCACATTTTAACAATATTTGTTCTTTCCATTCAGGAGCATGGAATGTTTTTCCATTTTTGGTGTGTCTTCTTCATTTCTTTCATAAGTTTTCTATAGTTTTCAGTGTATAGATTTTCCACCTCTTTGATTAGAGTTATTCCTAGGTATTTTATGGTTTTTGGTGCAATTGTCAATGGGATCTATTCCTTGATTTCTCTTTGTGTTGCTTCATTGTTGGTGTATAGGAATGCAACCGATTTCTTTTCTTTCTTTTTTTTTTTTTATATATGAAATTTATTGTCAAATTGGTTTCCATACAACACCCAGTGCTCATCCCAAAAGGTGCCCTCCTCAATACCCATCACCCACCCTCTCCTCCCTCCCACCCCCCATCAACCCTCAGTTTGCTCTCAGTTCTCAACAGTCTCTTATGCTTTGGCTCTCTCCCACTCTAACCTCTTTTTTTTTTTTCTTCCTTCCCCTCCCCCATGGGTTCCTGTTGAGTTTCTCAGGATCCACGTAAGAGTGAAACCATATGGTATCTGTCTTTCTCTGTATGGCTTATTTCACTTAGCATCACACTCTCCAGTTCCATCCACGTTGCTACAAAAGGCCATATTTCATTTTTTCTCATTGCCACGTAGTATTCCATAGTGTATATAAACCACAATTTCTTTATCCATTCATCAGTTGATGGACATTTAGGCTCTTTCCATAATTTGGCTATTGGAAACCGATTTCTGTGCATTGATTTTATATCCTGCCACTTGGCTGAATTCATGAATCAGTTCTAGAAGTTTTTTGGTGGAATCTTTTGGGTTTTCCATATAGAGTGTCATGTCATCTGTGAAGAGTGAAAGTCTGTCCTCCTCCTGGCCAATTTGGGTGCCTTTTATTTCTTTGTGTTGTGTGACTGCTGAGGCCAAGACTTCCAATACTATGTTGAATAACAATGGCAAGAGTGGACATCCCTGTCTTGTCCCTGACCTTAGGGGGAAGGCTCTCAGTTTCTTCCCATTGAGGATATTAGCAGTGGGTCTTTCACATAGGCTTTTATGATCTCAAGGTATGCTCCTTCTATCCCTACTTTCTTGAGGGTTTTTATTAAGAAAGGATGCTGTATTTTGTCAAATGCTTTCTCTGCATCTATTGAGAGGATCATGTGGTTCTTGTCCTTTCTTTTATTGATGTGATGAATCACAACGATTGTTTTGCAGATATTCAACCAGCCATGCATCCCAGGTATAAATCCCACTTGGCCATGGTGAATAATTTTTTTAATGTATTGTTGGATCTGGTTGGCTAATATCTTGTTGAGGATTTTTGTATCCATGTTCATCAGGGAAATTGGTCTATAGTTCTGCTTTTAGTGGGGTCTTTGTCTGGTTTTGGAATCAAGGTAATGCTGGCTTCATAGGAAGAGTTTGGAAGTTTTCCTTCCATTTCTTTTTTTTTTTGGAACAGCTTCAAGAGAATAGGTGTTAACTCTTCCTTAAATATTTGGTAGAATTCCCCTGAAAAGCCATCTGGTCCTGGACTCTTGTTTTGGGGGAGATTTTTTTTACTACTAATTCAATTTCTTTACTGGTTTTGGGTCTGTTAGAATTTTCTAGTTCTTCCTGTTTCAGTTTTGGTAATGTATATGTCTCTAGGAATTTGTCAATTTCTTCCAGATTGCCCATTTTATTGATGTATAATTGCTCATAATATTCTCTTATTGTTGTTTTTATTTCTGTTGTGTTGGTTGTGATCTCTCCTCTTTCATTCTAGAT